ATATTTATCTTTTATTCCTTTCATTGTTGTTGTTGTTGCACTCACACACACTTTTTCTTCAAAAGAGACGTTGGGAGGCAATGAGATGCAACAATAGAGTCCTTTGAAAAGCTTCAAAAGAGACATTGGGAGATGTTGAGATGTTTCACCAAACTGTCAGGTTATGTGAAACCTAATTTGAAAAATCTTTGCTACAAAAGAAATTAATAGTTGTATCCCAGTGGACTATATGAAGAAACTAGAACATATGTCATCATGTGATAAAGTGTGTTCAGAGATGAACATGGCCTATCAGTGTCATCTTGGTTCTTGCTCTTTGACTAACTCAGGTTCTGATCAGAAGCAGACTTCTCCACAGTCTGGTTTATAAAGGCTCTCTCCTTTAGAGTCTGATCTTTCAATGTTGATCTCTTTAGAATATGACTTCTTCATAGTCAGTTCTTCAGCTTCCGATACATCAGAAAGTGCTCTTCAGGCTTCTCTTTGGATATTCAAAGTCAGAATCAATACTAGGATTTAATATGAATTTTAGTCTTATGGTCCTGTGCACTTGAACAAACATTAGTATACCCTATTGTTCTTTAAATACTTTGTTATCATCGAAACCAAGGGATATGGGACAAACCAATCTTGTTCCAACAATAACTCACACACCATCATAACTAAGTAACTAATAAGGAAACTTCTAACATATGGGATAATCATTACAAAGATCACATTCATATCTATAAGAACTTCAATTCTCATGATCATATCAACAAAAATAATGATATTAATGTTATCAAAAGAAATAACCAGGGATCCATCATAAACCAAATGTATGAAGAGATGAGAAAGGATAAAGGAAGAATGCTCAACATATACTCACCCAACAATAACAACTAAAACTCCGGCGAAGACATCAATCAATCACAACCTGATATCATTCAAAACAAGAACAAGGATAAAATAAACAATAACTTTAAGGATATTAGCTATGTCACAAATAACATGAACACCCAAAGAAAAGATAGACTTGAGGAAAGAAATAACAAAAAGCTTGATAACCTTAGAAGATCATGTCATAAAATATATAATTATCCAAAGTCCCCTTGATAGCTCACAGAACAAAAAGAAAAGAAAATATTAGAAATAACATATATGAAGGAAAAAATATTGCTGAGAAAAGGAAGAATCAAATGAAAACTCCACCTAAAATTTTGAAATACATGTAGACCCAATCTCACAATAATCAGATCAATGAGCATGAAGGCAAAAACAAGCTCCACCATGACATCTCTAAAAGTAAAGTAAATGGGAAAATTAGAAACATCGGTAAAAGTAATTTTTATTCTGATGAGAGGGATAAAATGCAAATAAAGGATTTACATGAGAAATGGAACAACATGCAGAGTGGACCTCCCAAAGATCGTTGCAAAATCTCCATTAGAATGCAACATACCAAGTCACACACATGTGCAAAGCGGAATCCTCCAAATAAGGGATGGATGAATTGCAACATTGGCACTTGCTTAGATTTGAAAGGTAGGTCAAGATTGGGGGTGATTTTTTGGAAATGAGAGCAAATAAACTATGGCGGTGAGCACTTTCTTCATCAATGGTGACAAAAAACCTCATGCTTGTTGAGATTATGACACATAAGCCATCGATGTAGTGTGGAGCACTTTTTCCTTGACATCCATTTCGAAATAGATAATTTGAACTTACCTCGTATGATAGCGGATAATGATATCCCCATAAAAGTTTAGGGTATGGTTGGGAAGATGATAAGGAAGAAGATGTCGAAGCTGATAAGAGTTAGGGTTTCTCATGTACGACACATCAATAACCCAATTGCTCAAAACCAAGGATAAAATGCAAAACATTCAAATGATTTTGTGTAAATTAAAGAGAACCTGAAATGTATTCAAGCCCAAACTAAGTTGGAATTGACACTCAATTTATGATTTGAATGAATTCCTTGTTCAAAATAAAACTATTTTTAACAATCCAATCTTTTTTTATCTATAATAAACAGGGGATGCTCTTTCCACCCTTAAGGGTGCGCCCCCACGCCTTTGGAAACCCAAAAATGCATTTTAGGCATCCCGAAGCATATTCTGATGCATCTAAAATTATACTAGAATGCCCTATTCTGAGATCCATCCCATTTTGAAAAAAATATGGTTCGGAGATGCATCTCCGTAAAGTTTTAGGGGGTTTCTGGAGATGCATCTTCGAGATGTCCCCTAAATGATTTTAGAGCAGCACCGTTGTCCAAACATTGTAATTTATTAGGCCAAGTTATACTAAAGTAAACTCAAGTTATATTAAAGTGAAATGAAAGTAAAAAGTCATACATTAATCAAAGTAAATGTAAAAAGTCAAGACCATACATAACACTTGTTCAAAAATACAAAAAAAAAAATAGTACATCCAAACTTAAACTACTGGATATGTCTATCCCCATGCCTTCTACTCCTCTTGCACTACACATTATTATGTAACTCGACAATCATGTTTTCCACGAGGTCCAACTAGGGATTGTGATCTTCAAAAAGTCTCGTCGCCATGTGTGCTCTACCCATCTCCATAACACAATGACAAACCGTCGACACGTCTTTGGTGTGATTCTCTATAGCCTTAAGTACCGCCTGATTAGCTGGCCTAGGTGGTCTTCCAGGAACGTATGATGTCATGATAAGGTGTGACACTCTATAGATCCACATCATGTAGTCGTCTGCGTAGGCCTAATATACAAGAGCTAGCACCATGCTATGCTCCTCTGGTACCAAATGACTCTCAAGATCTTTAAGTATCACATTAAGATCTCTATGGCAGACAGTGGAAGGAGAGGACTCATATGGGGTCTCAGAATAATTTGCAAATAGAAAAATGTCCCATCACTTACTCAGGAAGATAAAGATACATAAAAGATGACCCACATGCCAACCATACATAGTATAAGGAAATGACGTCGAGCTGACGCGTCTCGCAGTGACCCTTGTATGGGCAAAAAGTAGCTTCATCTGGTACATGACAGTCAAGATAAATTCTAAATGGCTTGACCATATTATTCCCCATATACAGAAGAAATGCGGAAACACATGGCCAATCTTCACTATAGGTAGACACATCTTCCCACACAACGATGTTATGGAAGTGGGAGATGATCCATCCCTGAAAATAGTCCAAATATAATATCAATAACAAGTGTAACAAATGAATTATGAAAATACTAGTAATAGTACCGTAAGCAACATGCAACTCCCTGTCTTCTGCTTTGTCTTCCAAAGATAACCCTCGCCCAACTTCGAGTACAGGTAGACAAAATAGGCGACTCCCTAATTGTACTCGTGAATCATAATCAAGTCAATAGAGTATTGAAGGTAAAGTACATCAACATAGGTTTCACTTTTATCCACAAACATGGACATGCCAACCAAAAACAAGAGGTAACATCTCAATATGCAAGTTCGATGGTAGTCAACCTGTAGATCATCTCCTTCAGCATCCTTAGCCCACTGTAGATGGTCTTTATAAAGCTTTTCCAAACAAGCTAAATCTTGCAAGAGCTCCTCTTGTGTCAGTTGCCTCCTTTGAGGCTTTAGCTGGGTCAACCCCTAAATGGGGGCCATCATCTCGACGACTTCCTCTCGACTGATCCTTTTGTGGTATAGTAATTTCCCCTCATGGGAAGATGCAAGAAACATGAGACTTCATCCAAGGTAATGGTCATCTCACTTACAAGAAGGTGGAAAAATGATGTCTCTGAATGTCACCTCTCCGCAAAAGTTGTCTGTATGCCATGGTTTATAGTCATGTACACAACAAAACATAAATCGACAAGACCGAAATAACAAATAACATATTGAAACCAATCAGCAGTGGGTTGACCCAACTCTAATATCTTTTTGTGCTTTATCGATTTCAAACATGTACACTCATGTAAAAAGAAAATATCCCATCAATGTCGATTTAATTAGTTAAAAACATATGTATTACAAAAGAAAATAAATATACATATCCTTCTTAGATGTGCCTAGCAGCATGGTCTGCATAGAGATGAAGTAAGGATGTGTCCAATGGGCCTCTTGGATAACTCTCTAAAGAGGCATCAACATCGACTTCTTCCTGGGCTTCAGGGGTTGCATAGACTTTAGGTTATGCTGCATCATCTAGGGACTTATGCCCTTAAGGCTATATTTGAATTGATGGAGCAGCGGAATGAGATGTAGATCCCACTCCATCCTTTGGTTATTTTTTTTTTTAAATTTCTCATTCCATCACATACACTCTAAATTAGATGAATACAAAAAATAGAGAATTTGATGGAATATAATGAAATGTATTCCATCATGTTCCCTTTCATTGCAGTCCTTATTTACAAATTCAAATAATGAAATCTCATTAGTTGTCACTCCATCTCATACCACCAATTCAATGATACTTTAAGGTAATGTTTAGTTTGATGGAATGTGATAGAATTAAATGAAATGATATTTAATTAGATTATATTTTTGAATTTATAAATAATAGATGAAACATAATAGAACATGATGGAATCCATTCTATCATATTTTATTAAATTATTCAATTCTCATTCCATTTAATTTGGAATGTATACAATAGAATTAACTAACTTAGTTTTTTTTTCCTTCAAATTATGAAAAATACACAAACAACATAATAAAATATGAGTAATTTCACTCCATTCCATCGTGTTACATTCTTCTATTAATTCAAATGGTATAGCCTAGACTCAAATCTCTTAATTACAAAGAGCTACTTTCCCGTAAGGTGAGGGTCCACGTTAAACAAAGTAAGCACTAGTTACAACCCAGCGTACGTTAGAAACTTAACCTTCAATACGGTAACGGAGAAACTAATGAAAGTGGCGGATATCTCAAAGAAACACTTCAATTAATTTATCTTCTTTTTCGTTTAGCCCAATTTCATTCTCCCAACAAATCTCTTCTCTTCCAATTCCATCCTCTGCACTCCCTTTGGCGTTCTCCCTCATGGACTCATCTGCTGCCATTCGATCCTTTCACCGTATCTCTCTTTCTCTCTGCATTTCTGTTATAATTTCTTTGGAACTGAATTCGATCTGCATTTTCTATTTCTGATCTCGCTGTGTTGTTTTTGTTCTGTTTAATTTGCTCTACTTTATGTTCTATGCGAGCAAAAATTCAAATGATTTAAGGTAGATAAACAGTTTTCTTGTATTTGAAAAATTGCTGCAAATTAGCTTTATGAAATTAGGGTTTAAGAGTTGTATTAGATAGTGAATAGTTATGCTCGAGGATAATTTTAGTTGCGAATTTGTTCTACATTATATTATTTTATTTATTTGGTCTTTATTGGAAAAATCACAAAGTCTGACATTGGTAAGAGATAGAGCTTGAAAATAGTTTACATAGAGTGACACTTCTCACCTTACAAGTTGAATAAAAACATGGTCCTGAATAGAATATTATGGTGAAAATTGATACATGTAGCCGACCCCACTTAGTGGGATAAGGCTTGGTTGTTGTTGTTGAATATTTCAAGGATAGTTCCACAAAGATACCAGACACCAAATATTTTATCTTGTAGTGATGTAATTTGGGTGTTTTAAGGGTCTTAGCTTACTTGCACTGGCATCATTTGGGCGTATTTACTTCCGTATCCTAACTTTGATATAAACATATTTGATTAAGTGGATATGGATGTATTATCATTGTCATCATATACCTATATCATAATCCCTCTTGCTAATTGCATAGACGGTTAAAAGTAAACCATTGCTACCGAATCCTTAATCATTACTGTTGGATTTCAGATCCCATAGGCATTATATCCCATGTGCGATCCTCAATTGATAGGGCAGCTGTAGTTTCCTGCCATAAAGTCAGACGGAACTCTAGTAATGGGCTTTTTCAGCATTTGACAAATGGCGAGAAGTGCGTCTACTCTCACAGCAGGGGTAAGAAGACACTGGTTGCATGTACAAAAACAGTTGAACCTATCAACACAACCAAGTCTGATGGTAGGTTTTATTGATTATAAAATGAATTATGTACTTTGCTTATTTTTCGATGCTATTTGAATGAGATAACTCTCATACGGTTGTTTCCATCATTAAGAATCGAAGACACTAATCATTTGCAAAAATATTGATCTGTAGGTTTCTATTTTTAAAAGGTTTGTTGTTTTTTTTAAAAAAAATAATCTTTCATGTTATTCTGTTTGGTGTCTGCAAATTAGGAGTTTAGTATTATCAGACCCCCAATTAGGAAAATATATAAAAGATGAAATAAGGATGAGGCAATGCTACAATGGTCAAAGATATTGATATAGCAATTAGGAGAAAATAGTTCTGGACCAGAGTTATTAGAAGTAGATATCATTAAATATAGTAGTTAGGAAATAAGCATTCTATAATAGAATCTTTGGAAGTAGGATTATTAGGAATAGGACAGAACAGGAGATTTAGGAAAATATGGTATGATATATTCCCTTAGTTTTTCTCAATAATATTCCATGTTCCTATGACATTTTTATTCCTTGACCTGACAATTATTTATGATGTTACAGCTTCTTCAGACAGCACTCTGCAAAACTCATTAGAGAAAAAGCCATTGCAAACTGCTACTTTTCCTAATGGATTTGAGGTTTATAGCTATGCTTTCCTTTTATTTATATGCACTATCATATTTCTTATTGTTGAAAAACGATACTTTGGTGAGATTAGAATTAGTATGCCAACGAATCAAAATAATTTATGTGGGCTATTAGATGAAACAAACACAATACTATTTTTTTGCTAATTGACTATTGAATTTTGCCCTAGACTTCACAGTTGTATTTATCAAAGGTCATGTTTACTGTGAATCTGATAAACCCCTAACTATGTCTGGTTTGCTTGTGATCAGGCTTTGGTATTGGAGGTATGTGATGAGACTGAAATCGCTGAACTGAAATTAAAGGTGATATTCTCTCTCTTTAGTATTAGTGCTTTCTAAAATTTGAAGTATAGTAATAATAGAATTGTAACAAGGGTGAAAGAAACTTTAATGTATTCTTTAAAGCTCGAGGCTATAGAGATGGTATGGTTTTCAGTTATCATAATTCAACCGCGCACGTGCACACGTTAGTTTGCTACTTAGCTCGACATTTCTATAGCCCTGTGATATGCTGTGTGTTGAAACTTATGTCAAAGCAGTGAATTTGATTTACTCTAGATGCACTATATGCCATGGTTTATAGAAAATGAGGTAATGGTACTTTTGTTAAAATTGTAGCACGTTGCATTACAAGCTAGAGGTTGAGTTACTTTTGTGCCTAACGTCCTAACTGAGTATATAGTTTTATCTTGTAATTCAAATTTGATTGCTAACTGTCCTAGTAACTTTATCTTGTGCCTAACGTCCTATTAACTTTATCTAACGGAAAATCTGTAATTTATTTTGGTTCATCGAAAGAAGAACGCTTTAGATGAATGACACTGTATATGGCCTTATTTAATTTATATTTTGACAGGTCGGTGAGTTTGAGATGCATCTTAAGCGAAACATTGGAGCAGCAAAAGCTCCATTGTCCAACATTTCATCAACTATACCACCACCTATTCCAAGTAAACCTATGGACGAAACAGCACCAGCTACTCCACAGCCATTGCCACCAACATCATCTCCGGAAAAAAACAATCCATTTGCAACTGTTTCACCACAAAAGTCATCAAAGTTGACAGCATTGGAGGCTTCTGGTACCAGTACATACGAGTTAATATCAGCTCCTATGGTATGTCACCTATTTATGTATCTAATAATCTCTGATTTCATTAGTTATCTCTGACTTGAATTATGTACAGTTTGCTATCACTTATCTCTCCCTCTCTTCAGGTTGGTCTATTCCAAAGAGGTAGAGTAATTAAAGGGCGAAAGCTTCCTCCTAACTGTAAAGAGGTAACTTGATGTGCTAGTCACTGCCTAACCTCCAGTGTTTTTAAGTCATCTGCTTATTATAATATAGTAGATCACATGATTCAGTGGATGCCCCCTCCACCTGGCTTCTCATGGTGAACCCTTGGATTTAGGTGCATATGTATATGTTCTTGTTGCACACTAAGATTCTCTAGGTCACAGTAAATGTCTGCTGTTTAGGGTTCAACCTGTAGCATTTGAGCTGTGTCATGTCATACTGCAAACACCTAATAGGACCTTGCTAACATGCACATGTTAACTTTTGAAATATATTTAACTAATCAACTGAATATGGTATGAAAAAAGGAAACAGTGACAATAACTAAAAAAAGAAAGTCTGAACTTATATCGTTTAAATAAATCATTTTAATTACTATATTACTTCTCAATATTTTTTATTTAAAACAATACTACCATTATTATTTTTAAAATATGTGAATGAATAAACATTATGATCTATCACAGAAAGGATAGTCAACTTTTTAGTTGAACTTTAGAATATATATTTTCAATTTTGTGCCGTATTCAATTTAATCAATTTTTTGTCTGCTTCAGTAACTAAAGTTGTTGATTGTAATCTTAATCTATGAATGTCTGCAAACAATTGGCAGATGCTATCACTACATTTTAACAAATAGAAACATATGTAGAAGCAAATTATATAATCTTTGCCAGTATGATGTAGGTTGGTCGATATTTCTGTCTGTACTGGGGTTATTATTGACATATTTTCTATCACTCAATTATCTATTTTCAATTTCAACATAGGGTGATGTAATCAGAGAAGGACAAGTCATAGGGTATATGAATCAGTTTGGTACTTCACATCCTATTAAGGTGATTTAGCCTCTATTTCTTTAAATGTGGTTCCTACAGAAAATATCTACTTCTCCTTAGTAGTTTTATTTTGAAATGTTGCAGTCAAATGTAGCTGGAGAAGTGCTAAAGCTACTTGTTGATGATGGAGGTATGATGTTTGTGACCTATTAATAAAATATGTCTGGGTTTTTTGATATGTGACTCAAGTAAAGTGGTTGTGTGCCTCCAATATTAAGAATAGTGTTATGTGTCATGCCAAACAAAGGGAATCTCACATCTCACATAAAAGATACCGTCTTTTATTCCATTTCCATACCACTGTTGTATACTTTTTATTTATGTGCATTTTCTGAATAATATAAAAGCATGGGATATTCATGATAAATTAATTTAGTTCATCTTATTTAACAATATATGGCAAGTGGAAAAACTAACAATATATTTAGTTCGAATGGGTTTTCTAACTATTGTTGATTATTGATTTAAGCGGGCAATTGAAAAAAACTTATTTGAGTTTAATTTATGACATTAACTTAGAATATGGCCGTAAGTTGTCTTTAATTTATTTTCGTAAGCTTACTATTTTGTGCTCTATGGTTTTCAGATTCTCTTGGTTATGGAGATCACATACTTGCCGTCCTGCCATCTTTTCATGACATTAAGTGATCCAGCATTTTCCTGCTATTGAAGATTTAATTATGCGGCATTTATATAGGCATATTGGTAAATGTTTTGAATAGATTGAGAAATAATTGTTTGTGCTTACACATTAGGGGAAGGGGTTCTATTGAAGATCATAGACTGTATACCCATTGCTCAAAATTGTATTTTTATTAGCTAATTCCTAGATCACCTTATTACGTGTCTTAGTGAATGTACTCAAACATGAGACTTTGCACTCTATGAACCGATCCTAGTACGTTTGATTGCTTGGTTGATTTATTTATTTTTCAATAAAAGAAAAAGGTTTAGAACTTGTTTTGGGATACTCGGATCATAATAGGTAAATTATGCATTGCTAGAATGTATGAAAATGTTGTCTTCTTTGTAGTCTCTGATATTTTCATGACCAGAATGGTAACTCAATCTGTCAGTCATGTTAAAAAATGCAGAGAGCAGACACTGAGATTTCGTGTTTTAAAGGCTGAACCAGGAGGAAGTGAAAAAACAGTTATCATATCAAATGAAAGAGATTGTAGAAATGTTGCTATCTTATGTTTCAGCTTTAAAAAAATGGATTTTTTTTTTTGTATTTTCAAAAATAAGTTTTAAAAAATTGGTTTTTAAATATTATAAATTTTTTTATATTTGTTTTTTTTTTAAATGAAAGGCTAATTTTGACATCCTGTAACAAAAACATATATTATTGAAGATTAAAAGATAGTCAAAACTGCAATCTTTTCAAAAAGTTAAATCTCAAAAATGATTTTTATAAAAATTTATTTAAAATAGTTTTAAAATTAAGTGATTTTTAAATTTTGATATTTAAAAAAAGTTTTAATAAAATAATAAAATATATAAAATAATATTTTAAAAATAACTATTTAAAAGAAATTTTTATTGAAGTTAATATTGAAAAGTTTTTCTGGAAATTTTTTTTTATATAAAATTATGTTACACAGTAAAAATTATTTTAAAAAAAGTTCAAAACAAATGGACTCTAAGTAACGCGTGGAATACTTGTCCACCACCTATCTAATAATTAATGTCCTGTTATTCATCCCTTTACTTCTATTACCCATCTCATCAAAGCCCATAAACTCATTTTCTTTCTAACCACGGACTACTGTTTTAGGAGCCGTTCCAATGAAAATGTCACAACAGACTATGAACATTTTGGTTGATAAGTATGAGGTGAGACAAAAGCCAAGAAGTTTGAAATATGACTCCTAAGAACTTGGGTCTGTTTGGTAGCGGAAGAGTTAAGAAATTTTAAGAGAATTTCTCTTTTTATTTTATGTATTTCTATCACATTATCTTAAATTTCAATAATATTTTTTTAATTTCAAAAATATATCTTCGGACGCATTAAAATTAAGTGAACGTTAAAATACTTTAAAAATGTATTTTCGAAACATTTTGGAAGTCAATATCGCGTCAGACTTTTCTCCTCCCACACTTTTTATTTTTCGTCAAACACAACTCTTCAACTCTTCTCATTCTCAATATTTTCCAACTTTACCAAATCAAATTTCATCAATAGGAGACTCAAGGAAACAACAAACATCGTCCATTTCATCATTCAACAACATCCAAATCATAAATTTCATGTATGTTTTTTGAGTTTTCGGTAAATATTAGAGTTATAGTGTAAACGAGTAGGAATTAATTGTTAGGAGTAAAAATGTGTAGAAATCATATGTAACATAGTTTAGAGTTAGTATATGCATTATTTGTTGGCTCAAATGGATAATCAAATGTTTATTTTTCATAATGCAAGTAGCATAGGGCGCCATTGTCGCGATCTCTGAGTTACAGAATATTTCGGAGATACATCTCATGAATTGTTCAGCGTTTCATATACTCTAGTATATTTCAGAGATGTATCTCCGGAAGTATTCAAAGTAAAAAGATTTAAGGTGTTTTCGGAGATGTATCTCCGGAATGTCCCGTAGTCTATTTTTTTTCTTGTTTGTTTGTGTTGTCTCAGCTAATGATACGATATAATTTACCTTACATGTATTATGACTGACAGAATCGATAGACTGAGACATGTCCGGGTTGCCCAACACGCATCCGTTCGGCGAAGCGAAGCCAACAAGTTTCGGAGACAGCAAGTACATCTAATTAGGCAGAGGCGTCGACTTCAAGGGCGCAGTCTACTTCTATGGCTCAACCTTCACCTCAGGCCACTCCACCTTCATGACACGTCATTCCACCTTCATCTTAAGTCACTCCATATTTTTCTTCTTCACTATACCATAAAAGACCTTTAGCAGCGCTTAAAAGCGTTGCCTAAAGTGGCGCTGCTGTAGGTAAAGGTAGCGCTTTTTTTAAGGCAAAATCGCTGCCTTAGGTCTTCTTTAGGCAGCGCTTCTGTTTAAAAACGCTATCTAATATCACCTTTAGGCAGCGCTTCTATTTAAAAACGCTCTCTAATATCACCTTTAGGCAGCGCTTTTTCATGAAAAGCGCTCTCTTTTCTCCCCTTTAGGCAACGCTTTTGAAAGCACTTTCTTATGTATATTTTCTTCAGATTTTTGGCGGCGTTTTTTCAAGAAAAGCGCTCTCTTTTTCCCCCTTTAGGCAGCGCTTTTGAAAGTGCTTTCTAATGTATAATTTCTTCAGATTTTTGGCAGCGCGTTTTCATGAAAAGCGCTCTCTTTTCTCCCCCTTTTGGCAGCGTTCTTTTAAGTGCTTTCTAATGTATATTTTCTTTAGATTTTAGGCAGCGCTTTTTATAAAAGCGCTGCCTTAAGTCCACTTTAGGCAGCGCTTTCTTTTCTACACGTCATTGGATATTTTCAAAAGCACTTTTTTAAAAAGCACGTTTTTAGGAAGCGTTTTTTTGTTATAAGCATTATCTATTGTGCATTTTTTAGGAAGCGTTTTTTGTTAAAAGCGCTGGCATAAGTCTTATTTTTTACTTATAAAACGAAAGCACAAACCATTTAATATAATATTTCAACACATAGGCCTTATATACCATTATAATTCAACACATAAACCTGCTTATAACTATTATAATTCAACACATAAACTTGCTTATAACCATTATAATTCAACACATGTCTTTATTTCAACACATAAGCCTTATATACCATTATAATTCAACACATTAACCTGCTTATAACCATTATAATTCAACACAAGCCTTTATTTTAACACATAGGTTTTATATACCATTATAATTCAACACATAAACCTACTTAATTCAACACAAACCTCCATAATTCTAATAAAACATATTCATTTCCAAAATCTTTAACTTATAAATATTCACTATACATAATTACAAATTCCATCAATCCTCACAACAAATTCTAGAAGTATATATACAATAATTTGCAAAACTATACAAGAACTTCCAGAACTATTCCTATCCAGTAGTACAGAACATCACAACAACAAAAATATCTAAAGACCATAAACTTCACACAAAAGAAAGAAAGACAGTATACCTTATATAATTCTCATCTCAAGAATGTGTTGACACAATTTCCCCTGAATTTCTTCCAGTTTATCTTTCGAGTAAGTAGCACACTTGAACTCATCAAAGTACTACATAATATAACATAATATGCATGATTTAGTTAAAACTAATTAATTAGATGAAATATCCGTTAAATATTAAAATAAATCCTAACTTATAAATTCATACCATGTTTGGAATCTCTATTTGACCTAAATGAATAGTTTCCTTCATAAATCTCAATACAAAATAACCGCAATCTATACCATTACGCTCACGAGGACACTACACATAGAAAAAAATACGAATATATATATATATATATATATATATATATATATATATATATATATATATATATATATATATATATATATATATATATATATATATATATATATCATGATATATAGTTTAATTTGTTTTATCAAGTAGCATCACTATTATAATCAAAATTGTGAAAATATACCTGCACTCTGATCCATTTAATGTTGTTTGCTTTACTCCTTGGTACTCGAGCTTGTCTTTGTGATTGGAATATTTGTATAGCTCTAACATAATATAAACGAATATTTAGAACAATTTCACATAATAAATAAATATACACACGAATATTCAGAACAATCTCATCACTTACGTATCGACCATCTTCTTTATATCTGGGTATTTTGTTTGATCACCATCTAACAAATCCAGATAATATACTATTTCTTTTATCGGATTAATCGCAACCAACAACCAGTGTCCACGATAAAATAAGACAAAATTTTAGATGAAAATTTTCTATACAACGTCAAAAAACGAATAATTATAATAAATGAAATTAGAATAAAATCTAACCCATGATCAATATCATATGGCAAAAAATACAACTTTTTTGTATCTCTGTTGGCCATAAATGTATCGACTAAGTGATTTTTGACTGTATTTGGACTTTGATCGATCAACCGCGTGTTGATACAGCTGGAAGATAAGAATGAGAATCTTTTTGTCAATTGACGCAGGTGCATCAATTTTTCATACAAGAATCTTAAATAAAAACATAATCAACATTAGAATATTCATTGAAATGAGTGAATAAATTGTTCAATTATTTAAATAAAATTGATCGGAGTACCTGATCTATGAATTCATAACACCGATGTCTAATTAAGAATGTTGAAAAACCTAATCCAAATCCTCTTTAGCAATTGTTTTGGTATAAGCAAAACCGAAAATATCTTCCTCCATAGGTATTTCACGAATACCACCTTCCATCACATATGTTGTTCCTACATATGTTTCAAGGCACAACCTAAATCTAGGAACAAATGCTTTTTTAGGCTCGGTCTTCGCAAGATCCTTTTTTTTGTTAGACACATTGCTAAATTTAGACATCTTATTCTTGCTGACTAGTTGCAACTCTTGAGCATGAATCTAAAAATCATATAAGTTAGGTAATTAATGTATAAGATCATGAAGCTTTTGAATTCGGAGAATATAATTGACATTTTCTATGCATATATACAAATGTACCTGTTTTTTTGATGCAGCT